GCCCTTGCAGGGCCTTAGATGTGCTTTGGCAGAGAACAGAACATGTGAGAAAAACTTGATAGTGAAACTTGCAGGCTAGCAATAAAACTGAATGAAATCAGTTTTGCCTTCCAGAAGTTAAATGCATAAGAGCAACTGAACTGGGCTGTGTAAATCAGGGGAAAAAGTAATTGAAATTAATACCTTGCTCTGGGAATTCTTGTAACTTATCCTGGAAATACTTTGCATTTCAGTGGCTTTTTATTGACTACCTGTTCTGCTTTATAATTAAATCTGGTTTCTGCCAGATGTCATAAATTTAATTTGCTTTACCTTCTTTGTAACTCCCTGAGTATTCACAATTAACCTGACTGCTGCTTGCACGCATGCACACTTGATTTAATTGTAATGCTAATAGCAGCATTTCCTTTTTTTTTTTTCTGATTCCAGTCATTTATTTATTAGTCTTGGATGTTAAATGTAGGGTGGCAATGCTGAAGTAATAGGCTAGCTCTTGTTTGATAAATTATTTTCAGTGATATCTGTCAAATGGAGAAAACTGATGGGACATTAAACTGCAGACTGGCAAAAAGCTCTTCTGTGTAAAGCTATTGGCATGGAAAAGTCTCTAAAATACAGAAATAATTTAGGTGTCTGGAACTTAAGAAAAGGGTGGTAAAGCCATGGACTTCAGACTTGAACAGGAAAATGTCCATAGTGGGTAAGCAGGGCTGGGCTGTGGCAAATACAGCAGCAGGCAACCGCCCAGGGGCAAATAGCAGCTCAAGGATAGTCAGGAGTCTGCTGGCTCTTAGCCAGATCAGATGAGACAAACTCTGACAAAAGTACAGGGGTTTGGCACAGAGGCACTGACTGGAGGGTTTACAATGGGAAGCTAATAAAATGGCCAGACTGAAGACATTTGGAACTCCTTATCCTTCCTGCAGAAGGAGCAGAGGCTCTGACTGCAGTGCCGTGAAATGCCAGGAAATGGGAGCGAAAGAAGTAAGACTTATCAAAGCATCAGCTATGTGGTTTCAAAGAAATGATGTTATGATTTGATAATTGCTCTGATAATTTGTGGAATAAAATATTGTGGTCAGGTTAACAGCTTTTATTTGTTTCCTTTTTAGGGGTGTTAATGAAGAAGAAGTCACTCTTAAAACAAACAAGCAAGTTTACTCTCTTCTGTTGCGTGCAACTGCTAACAAAAGCATGACCCTGCTGGAGAGAATAGAGGTAATCTTAAACCTGCTGGAGCAGCTGTCTCAGAATAGTGAAGCCACGAGTGGTGGAATTCAGTGACTTAAGTGCTGCAGAAGAGCAGAAACAGTGCCTTGTGAATGCATGGGATCAGTGGTATTTTTTTTCCCATGTGGTATTTGGATTTATCAAAGGTGATAAGCATATACTGCCTATGTGGTTAACACAGTACACCTGGGAAAGAGTAGGAATTCCCTGTGAACCTGTGATAACTCTGGCATGGTTTGGTTCTTAGCGTTTCTTTGTTTGAAATGCAGAGTTTGGGTTGTGGATACAAACTGAACATATATATTTTTTTTATCTTGGAGAAAAGCACAATTTTTCTCTTAAAGGTAATGGGCTTTGCAGCAATGCAAATATTTTGAATAGAAATATAACCTCACAGTTGTTTGATATTTAATGAGACAGACTTTGTGAGCAAAGCTTTATTGGAATACTTCAACCAGTAACGTGAAAAAAAGCAGTGCAAGGAAATTTCTGTTGAGTGTGTGGATACATTTCTCTCATTACAGTCACTTTTCTGCACAAAATGTGTGCCTTCCTTGCTTTGATGCAAGATTCTTGCATTTGCCATTGCTGGTATTTCGTTTGCAACAGGAGGTGGATGATCTTAGGTGTGTTGGAATTGATCCAGAATAGTGTTATCTTTTTCAGACTTGAAACTGTGAATAAAAGCATATTTTTAAATAAATATTTATTAAATAAACCTATGAATTGTACTGCATTGTTTGTTGTGCTTCTATCAGTGAGGTAAACTTCAGAGCTAGAACCATTTGAGAAGCACTAGGAGTTAGGAAAAAAACCTATAAATGCTGCATTTTTTTCTTCTTGTAAATGAGAAGCATGGCTCATAGGAGGTGGTAGAAACTGTAATTGTCAGTTAAACATAACACACACAAAAACTGGTAATATGTGTAAGCCCCCCCACACTCAGACACATACTGAATTAAACACTTAAGCTGTTTGGAGGCAGTGATTCTTAATGCCAGTGTCATATGCAAGATAAGGGTTTTTGGTGGCTTTTGTATGGGGCGTGTTGTTTTTACTCAGGGGGAAAAAAGTTTACAGCAACCTTTAGCCTAACAATATTGGTGTGGTTTTACATTTGTATCTTTGAGTCTGTTTTCAGGAGAAAGCTGAGCTTTCAGATGAAGCGCAAAGCCTGAAAGAAGAAATATGCCTTGTGAAGGGGTGAAAAATGAGAGGCTTAGTGTGTGTCTCATTTCTGCTGCTTCTGCTTTTGAATGAGTGAGTTGTATGAAATGGCACAGTAGGTGCTTGAGTTTTGGTGTCTTTCCCTGCTTTTCACCTGGGGCCTGACTGTATCTACCACCCCTTGTGCTGTCCTCGCTTCTCCTGAGCTGAAAGCTGCAGGGAATTGAACAGCAGGTTTCTGAAGCAAGGTAAAAAAGCACTGTGCTTGAAATTGATATTGTCAGGAAATTTGGCAGTGGTGGAGGGGTGTGAGAAGTGCGTTCATGACAATCTTTTCTTCAAAGCTGAGGGGTAACTAAGCAAGACTGCTGAGATCAGTGACTCTTGGGTGCAGAGAGCAGAAGGATATGGTTTTGGCCAGAGGATTTCCTATGGAGCTGGCCGTGGCAGGTTCCTGCTGCTAAGGGGAAGTCCTGCTGAAACCCTCTGGATCTGATAAAGCAGGCTGTCTTGGTGCAATTTGCACTTCCAGAGGACAAGTTCAAAAGGTCTGTCCCAGAGAACGGTGTAAGACTAGAATGTAGTGATGACATGGGCCGTGTTTAATTGGCATTGCACCACACAGATCCATGCTCAAATGCGGTGCTTTCTCCAGAGCACCATTTACACATTCCTGCATCCTGCTGATTTCAGAAGCAGCAGCTCACCTAAATGTGTGCTTCTCTTCTGTGGGCTTTAAGTATTTGGCACTGTGACTGTCAGCCAGTCTAAGAACCACGGCTGCAGAGTAAGCCCTGTAACTTACTGTGTGAAGTCTGTTACTGTGATGTGGGGAGAAGCTTTGTGAGCTTTTCTAGCTTTCCTGTAACAAAACAGAACTAAAGAATTTCAGCAAGGCACATGGATGAGGTCTCCAATCTGCCAAATGACTAATAAAAGCGTTAAGCCCTCTCTGGTTTAAGAATGCTACAGTGGTTGGATAAGACAGCAGAACATTTCCTGCTTCTTGATACTACAGGCAGGCTTGCAATGCAAAGCTAGCAGCTGGGAGAGCAGTTTGTTCCTTAGATGAACCCTTGTCTCCAGGGAACGGTTTTGTGTGGTGCTCTAGGGGCAGGCTGGTAACCAAGGGCCCATTGCAAAGAATGTTATCTAGGCCTTCCAAAAAGATGAATTCCTAAGCTCCAAACAGGGGAGAGCTCAGGAACGTATGAACTCTGAGGGAAGGATTGTTCCAGCTGTGAAAGTGTTCCTTGGATAAAACTAAGCCAGGCCTATGCATCAGCTGATCTGACTGGAAAGGAATAAAAAGCCACTCCATTGCTGCAATTCTATTCCCTTTTTTAAATGAAATATATTACTAAGTGCTGCACAGTGAACCAAGCTATATATAATATATATATATTTCTGTTTGTTAACACAGGATGAATATGTCTGAATCCAAATCCCAGCCATAATGTCACCTGAGTCACACAGCAGTTTGCACGGCCTCCGTGTCCCATTAAGTGTACTAAGTACATATTGTATGGAGGTGATGGAAGCTGATATTTCTGTAGGTGTCTCCATAAGAAACTAGGTCTGAACTGAGGAATTAGACAAATAATTAGATGTGACTTAGGATAACTGAAGAATCTGCCATACAACACTTGGGAATACAAGCTCACGTGGGTGCCTTCAGCTTCCAGTCCTTGCTCTCTCCTCTGACAGACCCCATTTCCCCTTCTTCCCCTGCCCCTAGGCACTGGCTCATCTTCTCCAGCTGCCTTCTCTTTCAGCTGTGAGAGGTGTGGGCAGTCCTGTAGGGGACTTGAACTGACTTCCAAGTCCTCAATCTGCTGTGGATTTATTTCTGAATGCAAAGATGAGCAGTACTGCACACTATTGTAATGACACTGCTCAGCTGTATCTGAATGTTCAACAGCTTAACTAAAATTGTCCTTAAAAGGGGGAGGGGGGGGAAATAGTGGTAGAGAAAGTCAGCACTGGCTTCTTATTCATTCTCCTCCTCTTGAGGGCATGTCCATGCAGAGTCCTGCAGCTACATCCAGTTACCATAGTGATCCTAGCATCCTTCAGGAGGTTCTTCTTTAATGATGAAATATTCCTCCCACTGCTTAACAGCATCTTCCAGCAATTAGTAGGCTTCTGAGATCCCATTTCATCTCAAGAAACAGAACTGCTCCATAAAGCACAACGGTTGTGTTACTGTGCCTGATCTGACTGATGAATCCTCATATGCAACTTGAAGTTATTTCTGTTTATATTAACATAATTGGGTTCAGTTTAACTCTTATCCTGGGTACAAAGCTGCTTACCTAATTGGAAATTCAGGTCATACGCTCAGAATTAAGCTAATAGAAACATACAGCAAAGGAGGGTTTCTCTGTTCTTCCATGAACCTTAGTGCTATACTAACAACATGAGTGACTTTCATAAGGATTATAACTGAGTGTATTATGATTTACATCTTCCATGAATTTCACAGCATTGGCTGAAGGTAGCATGAGTGCTAAATAGGATTACTTCTCCTTTCACAGATAAACAATTGAAGTATAAGTCACATTCAAACAGACAACTCTAACACCATTATTAATGGTAAGCCACTTTATTTCTCTGTTTACAAATCCTTCTCTACAGAAATAGAAATGAAACCTTATTTTTTTAAGACTCCATACTGCAAGGATGTGTCAATAACTGACCTCCTGTTAGCTTCACTCAGTGCAACAGTACAAGAATTATCCTGCTCCACTGAGAATCTGCAATCATCTCTTAATATAAATATTTCAGAAGGAGAACAATGAATAAGCTTTGCAACAGAAAATACTTCATAAGTACGATCTTCTTTTACAACAGAAGATGTGCATGGAGAAACTGACTATACACAGAGAAGTGGAAACCTCACCTTGTGCACTAGGAGATACCTGAGGTGACACATGGAACACAAAATGTCAATATATTACTCTGATGCACTGGTGGCCTCTCACAGTTTGTTTCCTGGGACTGCACACATAAGAAAAAGGGGCTTCAGGACATGCTAGACAAATTCCAGATTTCTTAGATATGTGCTGGCAGCTCACACAAGGTGCTGCCAGGACAGTGTTGTGTATTCCCAAACAATACTTCATTGCAGGACAGCAGGTCTGCAAAATGAAAAAGCCTTCTGTAGAGAACCACAAACACATGCGGTGCTCTCAGTCAGATAAAATGCAGTTCTGTGGGTGAAGTGCTTTTTGGAGCCCAGCTGTGAGGTCTTGAGGAGTGGGACTCTCTGCAGTGCAGCTTACTGGGATTCCTGCTGCCTCCATGGCTTCTGCAGTTGTTGGACCAATAGCAGCAAACTGCAATGACATTGTTTACAGCTGGAATTAGTGTGAGCAAGCATGGGATCAGCTCTTATTAGTTACTTTCTTGGCTAACACTGCCAGAAATCAGTTTGCGTGTCTGAGCTCACTGCATTGTACCATTTTGCACTGAAGACCTTCAGTACAAGTCAGCTACCAGCTGGGCTGTTTAGAAAGTACTTAGGAAAGATTTCTCCCACCATTACAAACCTTCAGAGCTTTACCTTCCCTGTACCAAAATCAGTCTTTTTCCCCACTAGACCTCAATTGGAAGACCAGTAGCTGCACCAGCTCAGAGAATTTGAATTCAAAGAATGAATTGCAAACCTTAATGTTCTTCTTTGCCATCACAGGGGAATTACGATTTCTTATGTAAACAGAGGATTCAGAAATCCTCTACAAGACATTTTTATTCCTCTTTATGTTGCAACAAAAAGCATGGTTATATACTCATAATTATGAATGATGTTAGAACCTTCATTATTTGTTTCTCAAATCAAGACTGCAGAACTTTGCAGTGGATGCTGCCTAACGTGTTTTGTTCAGAGGAAGAAGCACAAAGAGCCTGGCATTCCCCACAAGAAAATGAAGGTTTGGAAAGGGTATAACAGCTTTCCTCTCCTTTGGTCTCCCAATGTAGGCTTACTCCCCATTGCATTTCACCATTTTAAAAGAGCAGGTACCTTTATGTGGTTGGCAGAATCACCAGAAAGCTTCTGAATGTGCTGGAGGCAAAACTTGACACCAGATGGACTGAAGAACACAATGCTGGCTGGAATTCCCTGTGTGAAAGTAAGCAGAGGTTGGCAGAGGTTTCTCAGTTCCAGCAACACATCAGTTCTTTCACATCAACCCCTTTAAATCTCTCTATATGGACACAAAGGGTTTTTTTTTAAATGAGAAACAGATGCTAAGCCAACAGAGGGCTCTCTGTGGTGCAGTCTGCCAAACCTCCACACAATGCTGAAGTTCAGGTGTGGCTTTAACCAAATACTTTGTCACATACCCACTGGGTGATAAATGTACTGCAATTTTGCTCATTTCCCTGTTTAGCAAGGAAACTCAGCAAGTTATTTCCCTAAATCCATTCCTGCCTATGTCAGTTCTGGCCACGTTCAGTTTCCCAACTCGTGTGGTTTTACCCTAAGTTCTGCCCACCCAGAGGCGCTGTGGCAAAGATGAGGCGATGCCTTCCAGCTGCAGATCACACAGAGGGCTTTCTGTCCCACACGAAGGCCTTAAGAGAGCCAAAAGAAAATTCTGCAAGATCTGGACCCAAAGCACATGCCTTCTTCATCATGATTTTCTGTTTGAGCAGAAAAATACCCTGCATGAGATGTACCCAAAGCACATCTGCTGTTGTTACCGTGCGTGACTTGGAAGCTGGCCTGAGCCCCTGGAAAGCAGAGCGATGCTTTAGCACAGCGCTGCTCACTGTCTCACAGTGTGCTGAAACACTTGTTTTTTTGTATCAGCTCTCCATGCACAAAACAGATAACCCCAATATCATCAGCTAGGAACAACTGAAAAAGCCCATGAGAAACAGATTTAATAGCTTCACACTGAAACCAGCAAATCACATTGTCTAAAATGTGTGTAAGGAGTTCCTCAAAAAGAACTCGGAATGTGGATGTATCCTCCCTGGAAGCACTCAAGGCCAGGCTGGATGGGCTGTGAGCAACCTGGGCTAGAGGGAAGTGTCCCTGTCCATAGCAGGGGTTGGAACCACGTGATCTTAAAGGTCCTTTGCAGCCCAAGCCATCCTATGATTCTATGAAAATGCCTACGTACCATGCCAGAGCCTTTTAGGACCTCCTGAAAATTAACTTGAAAATCAAGATATAATTTAACAAGACACTGATGTATAGATTAAACAGACGTGAACGTGTTCAGGCAAGCCAAGCTATCCCAAGAAAGAAAGGCTACATTTTGAACACCATTAAACACAGATAGAGTGGAAAATTCAGAAAGTCAACCTGGACAAAATAAGAACAATTTCTGCTAGCTTCAAATCTTTTTCTATGCACTGCTCCTGGCTTAACAAAGTTTAACAGATACGTTTGCTAGATTTTTTTGCCTTTATGACCTCAATACATATGTCACTTGGAATTCAAAACACTTAAAATTATATTTATGTTCATAAACTGGATAATCAGAGGAGGAACTCTGAGACTACGGAGGGCAGAAAACCACTGGATTCTGATTCATAAGATACAGCAAAGTTGTCCAGGGACACCACAATAACAACAATAATTAAAAAATAAAGCTGTTTAATAAATATCCTCTGGAAGGGAAGGGAAAGGTGTGTTTTGTTAGGTTACATCACAGACCTCAAAAATTCTGACATTCCAATTTGACCCAATACCTGCTGTGAGAAATAGCTGCTCAGTGACTGCTGGAGATGCTCGTGTTGGGCAGTCTGGTACACAGTCAGGCTCTCCAGAGGTATGCCTGGGATCACAAGAGGCATTCAGAACCAAACAGGATGTCATTGATTTCTATTATGTCAGGAAAATGTTCTTACTGTATCACTTGCACTTTAAAAGTTAAAAAACAGTTTAACTATTTCAGGTTAAAAAGACACAGGGAAAAGGACATGAGGGATTCATACGTCTTTCTATGCATATGATACAAGATCTAATAGAACTTTTGTAACTGGAGGACCTCGAAGCACATGAGGACAACTGTCATGTCTCACAGCACGTCTGTGATTAAGTTCTCTTCCTTCTCAAGATGCCAACAAAAGTGATGAACAAAAGCAAGTAACCTTGCTTGAGCTGCCCTACACCAAGTCCTGGAGCTGTGAGCAGCATCCCAACCTCAAAGATCGACCAAGGAGGCTGTGGATGCCCCATCCCTGCAGGCATTCAAGGCCAGGCTGGACGTGGCTCTGGGCAGCCTGGGCTGCTGGTTGCTGACCTGCACACAGCAGGGGGTTGGAGCTGGATGAGCATTGAGGTCCTTTTCAACCCAGGCCATTCTGTGATTCTAAGAAAGCCTGCACTCCCATCCTCCAATCGACATCACAGAAAATTCCATTCTCACTCAAGTTTGGTTCAAAAAGGTTAGGTACAAATTGTCTCCTAACAGACTGAGTACAATGAGGCTCAAAGGGAAGCTCAACCTTTTTCTTTAAGCGCTGTAGGAAGTACTTCTCTTTTCAGGGCTCCGCAAGGAAAAAGAAGAGATGATGAACGAGGTTTCTCTCCTGTAAATACACAAACAAAAACTTGTCATTAATTTCTTTTTTAATAAAGATGCATTTAATCCACTTTAAAGGTATCAAATGCTGAATGCTGTTGCAAGTGCTGCATGCTTCTCCCCCAACACAGCCCTGCGGTAACTGAAAGCACTCACAAAAACTGCATCCCAATTCAGAGGGCAGAGCTACTTAGCATGTAAATTAAAAAGTATTCCATAACCAATACGAATGCATCGACTAAAAAGATCTCATGAAAGATAAACTGCATTTCTATTCCCCGTGCCATTCTACAAAGAAAAACAAGGACTGTGCAAGTTATCTCTTCCTTCTCAGATGCACAATCTTCCTCCATTTTTATATTTAAAACTTCAGCCCACTCTGTACACAACAGCTCTCTCTAAGGGAAAGAACTTTCAGGCAGACAAGAGGACAGAAGCACTCTGCTGGAAGCTTCAGGCTATCTATGTGTGTGTTTTCTTGCTTGCCCAAGGAATAATGGTTCCAATTCCAAGGCTGGAAGACTGGAAGTGGGTGTCCACACATCCTCGTATCCTTTTGAAAGGAACTGGCTTCCAACCTCAATTGCTGTTACACTGCCTGCATGTGAATGCTCCTTGCCCATCTGGGAAGAAGGACCTTTCTGGGTTGTGACCTCAGCTTTTAAGCAGCATTAAAGGCAGCAAACACCATTATCTGTTCTTAGACAACAGCTTTTTGCAGCTACTGCCACTAGGAAAGTCAGATGCTCATACGGTGACTGCTTTAGGTGTATTATCTTAAAGTGTTTTAATGCTCATTATGTGAAGATATTTAATGTAAAGGCTGTTCTGACGAGAAATGAATGAAACTGAAAATATACTCCAATGCAAACTGAAACCCATATTATCATTAATCCTTCATCACTAAATACAGCCAGAAGTTCAGATGTTTTTGGACACAAACTTAACAGCAGACTTCTTGTGCAGTTTGCCTTTTCTACAAATAAGGGAAATACACAGAAAATGTTAAGAAGAAAAGAAGAAAAGCAAAGACAAAATGGGAAGACCTTACTTGGAGTCAACACATACTGGCAATTGGCACAAATATTACGTTGCAATAAATCTAAAATTACTTGCCTTGTAAAAAGACTCAATGTGGCTTAATTAGGAGTAAATTCCTTTGTTTTTAATTCCACTTAAGGTGGTATTGAAGCACCTGAGTAACAAAAGGATTATCCTGCTGCAGATTTTATTTTTATTCTGACAACAAATTCTAATGAGAGAAGAATTTCGAGCTGTTCCTTTCATTCGCCTATCATGTCAAAATAAATAAGAAAAAAAAAGACAGAGGTTCTTACAAACCACTTGATAAAGGGCGAGAGCATCAACAGGCAGCCTCCAATAAACCACCCGGTACGATTACATCTATCAACAAGCAGTCTCCAATGATTGAAATGTGCTGGATGGTTATTAAAACTGAAGGGTATTCAAAGGCAGTCATTCTCACAAGGATAATGGCAGTGCTACAGCTCTGTGTTAATTTAAATAGCCTGCTGGTGTTCTGGTATGAAACTGCCCTCGGTGTAACGTATTCTATGGAGAAGGCTGTAAAACATACAATTTTCTTCCCCACTGGTGGCTGTCAGAAGCTGCTGCTGCTTCCAAACCACTCTCTTTGGGTACAGAAAAACACAATCCTCTGAAACCACGTGTTGGTGCTGAGGAAAGGAGTTGCCCTTATCCACAATGAATTACATGGTGGTGAGACACCCCCAGCCCCAGCAGTGACATCCCATGCTCACTGACAATCTGCACGCTCACTAACAGAACCATCTCCACGTTACGACCGAGCAGCAATTTCAAATCATTACAGCTCTGACCTTTAATTAAGAAAAAACCCAACACCATTTGTCTGCTGGGTCGATTAGTATCCAACTGCAGAGTCTAAGATGTCAGGTGAATTAAGATCCTGGATAGGAATTTCAAAACGTTGTTTATGGCCTTTTAGAGCTATTTCGGTATTCCCAGAATCTGAATCCAGAGATGTAAGATGACACAGACCACATATCCTGCTCTGTTTCAGCATACAGATGACTGTATATACAAGAAACAAGGTACATGAGCTTAATGTAAATAGAAGATTTCAGATACTCACTTGAGCAAATATATTCAGCTAATTTTTCAGCATTTCCACTCTTTTCTCCTTGTGGAGAAAGGCCAATTTCTTCCACTATAAGCAAAGACAGAAGAAAACTCCACTGAATTCAAGAAGAACAACTCAAAGTCACAGAAACATGAGCTGAAATTGGAGTCCCAACTTGATCCACCTTAAACTGCAGCTTACCAAGAGAAGCTGTAGCCTTTCCTACCACGTATGTTGGTTTGGTATTCCACTGTTGTTTAAGAGCTTTTGACCATGCTGTAAAACATTAAATTAAGTTTAAGTACGTGGCAACAAAATATGAATGCTAAATGAGTATTTGGACTTCTGTGCAAATCTGTGGATACAGCAAATGCCAACAACTAATACAGTAGGACACATTTCAGCAAATCTGAGTTCACAGAATGAATTTTTAATGTATTTTTCATCGCGTAAATAGCAGCCAAAAACATGTGTTCAAAAGCTTGATTTGAGTAAATAGTTCTCAGCTGCTTTTGTTAAATAGTGTTCTTAATGCATGCTTCACCTTATGTCACATCGTATGCAGCTTACGTTCATTTCTACTTTGGCATTAATGTAGAAGTTTAAATGGCAGCAAAGCTTCTAGGGAAGAAGAGTACACTGCAAAGATCTCAACACACAAAGTGGGGAATTTAAAATAGAAATGAGTTCTCAGCTCTGAAGAACTCAAGAGTGATGAGGTGCAGCTGCCCAGAGAGGCTGTGATGCCCCGTCCACCCCTGGAGGTGTTCAAGGCCAGGTTGGATGGGGCCCTGGGCAGCCTGGGCTGCTATGAAATGTGGAGGTTGGTGGCCCTGCATGTGGCAGGGGGTTGGAGCTTCGTGATCCTTGAGGTCCCTTCCAACCCAAGCCATTCTGTGTTTCTATGATTCTATTCTATGATTCTTAGCATCAGCAAATGTAACCACAACTGACTGCAGAAAGAAACCCATGCTGATTAGTAACTGACGCCAAGAGCTTTTTCCTTTCATTTCTAAGAGCAGCATAAAGCACAGAAAAGCCAGACCCCTGGAAGCTCCATTCAGCACAAGACCTTTATGACGTCAAAACAGAATGATTTTTTTTTTTAAGGCATCAGCAAACACTGCTGATGGGTGAAATAAAAAAAAACAAACTTCAGAAAATACCAAAAGAGAAAAACCAAGGAATATGGATGGGCACTTACTTTCATTTTTACTATTCTCTCTTAAACATATCTTGATGGCTTCTAATGCTCTTGGACTGGTAAAAACGAGGCCCCTGTAACGCTCTGGATGAGAAAGCTGCTTGGAAATAGGAAATGTAGGAAGCACATTAAGAATCGAGCAAATACATTAAAGAAATAAGTCAATCAATTCCTTGTAACCTTGTGAACAACAAAACAGCACCAACAGATAACAGAAACGGGCAATTATTTACACCTATCAGCAGCCAGATTATTTATAAGAGGAATGTATAACAACTACTGGATATTTTCCTGTGTGATATTAATGCTGAAACTCTGCAGCAATAGGTAAGGCTTCCTGTCACTGCCACGAGCTGACGGATGGGTGAATGACATATGAGATACTCCACATTCACGTAGGAAAAAACAACTGCCATTTCAAGCAGTAACACAGAGGGTTGCTTGCTGCTTGTCCCCTACCTGATCAGAAAACAGTAAGACCACAAACATGCTCTAAAAGACCGGTTAAAAAAAAAACAGAGTGTTCCCAGGTGAATTGTAAATGCTGTGATACACTGCAAGACCTACTAAAGAGAAATGCTGCTGGAGATGGGCACTCGAGGTAGGCTCCCTCACAAAAGCTTTCCAGCACAGGAGAACTAAATAAACAGCTGAAGAAAGAATGGGAACAGCCATTACACAGTTTGACCCTACGAGATGAGGTACACAACTTTGGTGCAATGGAAGGGTGAACTTCAGGTACGCTTTAGTTGGTACAACAGTCCTCTTTTCTTTTGCTACAATGCCTGTGACTAGTGCTTGTAAGCTTTATTGTCCTATCTAACCAGCCTATGTCTTTAGGGAGTACAGACAGCATCCTTCTCATTGTGTGTATCATCACAGGACAGACTTCTGTTAGTGGGAAAACAACACAAGGTACTAAAAAGGGCAGCAATATTATTAACTCAGTGTAAGATGTTGCACCTTGGCAATCACAGCCTAAACTCTGCTGGAAATAAGGCAACTGGAATCCCTCCAAACTTACCTTTTCAAACAAGTCTTCAAGAGATACAAATTCAAATGACAAAACTGGAATCAAAGTTGCTTCAAATCCATACAATCCTAATTCCTATGGAAAGAAAAACACAACACAATTCTTGAAATACACTTCCAGCAGTTTTTGCTTCAAAGAAACAACCAGGTCAGTGCAAGTATATTTTTCCTCAGCTAAAATACAAAGGCATCTTACTCATCAGTGAATCTGGTTAGGTTCACCTATCTTGCTGAACAGAACAATACTGTTACTTAATAGCAAAATAACACAACCATTTACTTTTTCGAGTTCACTCACTTTCACATATGGATCTGGTCCCGACTCTTTGTCTTTGGGGTCCTTCAGTAACAGAACCTTCATCGTTTATCAAATAATTGCAGAAGAACTCTGAAATACAATAAAAGAATTTATCTAAATTAGATCTAGAAGCCTTTTTTGCTGAGCAGTGCCTTTAATGGCTCAGCCCGAGCTGGAGCAGGGCTCCCTGTGCAATGAGCCAGCAGCTAACGCACGTTCTCTGGGAATGAATACCCACCCTGATAAGAGCAGCAAATAACATGCTGGCTTCAGATAATGCTGCTTAAGGGAGAAGCTGCAAGGAAAGTCATCAAGGAGAACGCTGCAGAAGGAGGAACAACCCCTACAAGGCAGTCATGTTCAGTAATGTAACACGTAATGTGCTTCTGGCTGAAACAGCTTTATCCCACTCTGCTCCACCCTGTCCTGGGCCAGGCTCACACCTGTTGCCCATACACAGAAGGGAAGGTTCTCTATTCCTTAAATGCTGACGTGCTGAATTCAATGACTGATTCCAACACTTGGGCAAATACAACAAGCAGCAAAGCAAACAAATAGCTGAACACAAACAGAATTTGCTAACTGCACACTAACGCTCGTTACTCACGTGTTCCTTTCTGATATTAGCACACCAGCCAATTAGCTTTAAAAAGAACAAAAACAAGTACTCAAATGTATGGAATATCATTGGTTTGCTTGCACCAAATGCATTGAAATCCTCCAAGTTTCATCGAAGACCAAAAGACTGTTTGGGCAAATGTTTGTCATCACAACATTTTTAAACATTTTTCTCCAAAGAGAAAAGGCAGCTTTGGACCAAAGCAGGCCCAGGCACTGGCACCAAGTGTTACTGAGGAACACCTATGGCTGTCCAACACAACACCTTACCAACATCAGCTCCCCCAACGAGCAATTCTACTGAATCATTAATACAAAGCACACAGGACATGTGGCAGCTTCAGTAACTGATGGTGTATTTTGAAGTACTAGCACTATGGGCACATATTTTAGATGTCATTAAATTTAACCAAGAGAGGAATGCAAAAACTTCTGAAGAGCCAGAAGATGTTTCCATATAGAGCAATGAATGGACTGACAGAGTCCAGCGGTGCTCAGTTTACATCTGCAAACGAGACTGTGGTGTGAATAACCTGAATTCAGTTTTGCACTGCCAAGTTTATAGGATGATGTTGGCCTCCTACTTTTGGCTCACAAAACAAGCACACTGTTTGCATGCGTGCCAATAACTGCTCTGTGATGATTGCTCTTCGGCTGTTAAGAGAATACCATTTAGAACCCATTAGGCTTGCAAACAGCTAATAAGAGGACCACGGATTTTCTGACTTGACCACAAACGCACACACAGATGAAGAAAAACTTGTATGAGCCATTCTGGGGTTTGGGAAGCATCCAGTTAGCTCTGATAACAAACCATGGGAGCAAGCAGAGCTGCCAAAGCATTCCTTTGTGGCCAAAGGTATAAGCAGTTTGGTGCTATTTCTCTTAGCCCACATTACCTAAGTCAGGAGAGGGGTAATTTTGGGTCGTGTTGTGCATTCAGGGAAATATTAATGCTTACAGATGTAACTGAAATGCTTCCCACTCACAGCATTAAACAGTGAAATTCACCATCGCTGTGCCTTCAATTAAAACAGAAAGCTGATTACAGTGTGTATCTCCAGTCCCCCGCTCCCCTGCATTGGAAAAGTTGTCCTCAAACTAATTGCAAACCACTTCTATGATGGAGGATGGCTTTGAGAAAGAAAGAAATGGGTCCTTCTGTTTCTGCTTCTAAGTGACACCGAAAGCTGCAAAACACATCGAACTTTAATAAAACTCCAGCCCCTCTTTTATTGCAAGAAAGTGCATGGGTCACACAGCAAGGATTGATTGCCAAGTGTAACAGGAATGTCATAAACTGAAATGGAGATGAATTACAAGACACTACTGACATATGCTAAAAAATATTAAAGAAAAACGACTCTGAAAAACCCTGGGCTGGGATTTTTGATGCTATGTATTTCTTACCAATATTCTTTCCTAGCGAATAGCTGGGTTTAATAACCAGAGAAGGAAAGAAAGATTACCTGTGAGGCTGCCATGACTTGTTTCAAAAGCCTACCAAACTCACAGATAACATTATATATACACCATTCAACACAAGCAATTTTTCTAAATAATAATTCCTGTTACACAGGAATCCCAAAATCCAACTGCAAAACTAGTTCCCTGACCTGGCAATCCCCTGGAGCTGCAGGACTTGGACCTTCATAGAATCATTCAGGCTGGAAATGACCTCTCAGATCCCCCAGACCATCTCCAGCCACCCATCCATCCCACTGAGCCCACTGCCTACATTCCTCAGTGCCACATTCTCATGTTTCCCAAACACCCCCAGAGATGGTGATCCCCACTTTCTGGGCAGCCTGTGCCAGTGCCAACCACTCTTTCAGAGCAGAAATTGTTCCCAATCCCCAGTCCAAATGTCTCCTGGCATAACTTAAGGCCATCACCTCTTATCCTATTGCCACCTGGGAGCAGAGACCAATCTCTACAACATACTGCAGCTATATGTGGCACAAATCACCACAGAGGGGGTTTTACTGCTTCATTGAAGAATTCTGTCAATCCATCTTGCTCCAATCTCTCCCTAACCATCAATGTTTATATTTCAGCAGTGCTCCCAGAGCAAATACAGCTCTCGACTTCCAGCAGCCCTAACCCAACCCAACCAACCCAACCAACCCCACCTGACCCAATCCAACCTGACCAACACAACCTGACCCAACCTGACCAGCTCAACCCAACCTGACCCAATCCAACCAAACCAACCAAATACGACCCAACCCCACCTGACCCAACTGAACCAACCGAACTTAACCCAGCCCAACAAACCCAACTAACCCAACATGACCCAACCCAACCAACCCAATTTGACCCAACCTAGCCAGCCCAGCCCAATTTGACAAACCCAACCAATCCGACCTGACCTGACCCAACCCACTCAATCAACTCAACCTGACCCAATGCAACCCAACAAGCCCAACTTGACCCAACCCAACCAACCTAACCAGCCCAGCCCAACCTGACAAACACAACCAACCTAACTTGACCTGACCCAACTCAACCCAACCTAACCAGCCCAACCCAGCCTGACACAACCCAACCCAACCAACCCAACCTAACCAACCCAGCTCGACCCACCCTAACCATCCTAACCCAACATGACCCAATCTAACCAACCCAACTCAACCCAAACCAACCTCAACTGACTCAACCCAACCATCCCAACCCCACACCCGACCCCCCCAATGGAAGGCAGCCCCCATCCACATGGCACACACAG